CAAGATATATTTCCTAAAATCTCAAGACTTTTCGACATCGTGACCAGAAACCTCTAAAATTTCCTAAAAAACGTGGATATAAGCCTTCAATTTTAGAAAATTTTTGACTTTTTTCGCCCGAAAACAAAAATTCCCAAAATGTTTACCATGATCATAATATTCTCCGGGAGTCCAACCGGGTGGGGGTGGAACCATCCAATTTGCCTTTGAACGACCAATTTATCGGTTTATAACTTGCACCGATTTCATTAACTCAAGCCTACCACGAAAATTTATGACAACATATAATGATCATATGGGGTTCCAAACGGCATTATATGACCCCCATATGTATTCCCCAAAATCACAAGACTTTTTGACACCGAGCCCCGAAACCTCCAAAATTTCTCAAAAAACATGAACATTAACCTTCAATTTTGGAAAATTTTGACTTTTTTTTTCTCCCGAAAATGAAAATTTCCGAAACGTTTAACATGGTCCTTAATACCCTTCGGTAGTCCAATTGGGTGGGTGGAACCATCCAATTTGTCTTTAAACGGCCAATTTACCGGTTTACAACTTGCACCGGGGATTTCATTAACTCAAGCCTACCACAAACAGTTATGAAACAAATAATGATCATATATGGTTTCAAACGATATTATATGACCTTGAGATGTATTCCCTAGAATCTCAAGTTTTTTCGATACCGGGCTCCGAAACCTCCAAAATTTCTAAAAAAAACGGTTATATTAGCCTTTATTTTTGGAATTTTTAGACTTTTTTCGTCGGAAATAATAATTGACGAAATATTTACCAGAGTCCCTAATACCTTTCGGGATTCCAAGTGAGCAGGTGCAACCATCCAATTTGCCTTTAAACGACCTATTTTCCGGTTTATAACTTGCACCGATTTCATTAAATCAAGCCTACCACAAACATTTATGACAACATACATTGATCGTATATGTTTCCAAACGTCATTATATGACCCCGAGATGTATTCCATAAAATCTCAAGGCTTTTAAACACCGTGCCCTAAAACCTCCAAAATTTCTCAAAAAACGTGGATATAAGCCTTCAATTTTGGAATTTTTTTGACTTATTTCGTCCTGAAATAAAAATTGCCGAAATTTTTACCATGGTCCCAAATACCCTCTAGGAGTCCAATTGGGTGGGTTGAACTATCCAGTTTGCCTTTAAACGGACAATTTACCGGTTTTCAACTTGCATCGATTTCATTAAATAAAGTCTACCACAAACATTTATGACAATATATAATGATCATAAATGGCTCCAAACGGCACTATATAACTCCGAGATGTATCCCCTAGAATTACAAGATTTTTTGACACCGGACCCCCAATCCTCCAAAATTTCTCAAAAAGTGTGGATATTAGCCTTCAATTTTGTAATTTTTGACTTTTTTTTCGCCTGGAAATAAAAATTTCCGAAATGTTTACCATGATCCCTAATATTGACCGGGAGTCCCATTGGGTGGGTGGAACCATCCAATTTGTCGTTAACCGACCAATTTACCAGTTTACAACTTGCACCGATTTCATTAACTCAAGCCGACCACAAATATTTATGACAACAAATAATGATCATATATGGTTCCAAACGACATCATATGACCCCGAGATGTATTGCCTAAAATTTCAAAACTTTTCGACACTGAGCCGGAAACCTCTAAAATTTCTCAAAAAACGTGGATATTAGTCTTCAATTTTGGAATTTTTTGACTTTTTTTCGCTCGGAGATAAAAATTGCCGAAATATTTACCATGGTCCCTAATATCCTCCGGGAGTCCAATTTGGTTGTTGGAACCATTCAATTTCCCTTTAAATAACCAATTTACTGGTTTATAACTTGCACGGATTTCATTAATTCAAGCATGCTACGAACATTTATGACAACATATAATGATCATATATGGTTCCAAACGACATTATATGACCCTGAGATGTATCACCTAAAATATCAAGATTTTTCTACACTGGTCCCCGAAACCTTCAAAATTTTTCAAAAAACGTGGATATTAACCTTCAATTTTGGAATTTTTTGACTTTTTTTTCGTCTGGGAATAAAAATTTCCGAAATGTTTATCATGGCCTCTAATACATTTCGAGAGTCCAATTGGGTGGGTGCAACCATCCAATTTTCCTTTAAACGACCTATTTACTGGTATATAACTTGCACCGATTTCATTTAATCAAGCCTACCACGAACTTTTATGACAACATATAATGATCATATATGATTTCAAACGCCATTATATTAACGTGAGATGTATTCCCTAAAATCTCAAAGCTTTTCGACACCGGGCCCCGAAGCCGCAAACATTTCTTAAAAAGCGTGGTTATTAGCCTTCAATTTTCGATTTTTTTTAAACCTGAAAATAAAAATTGCCAAAATGTTTACCGTGGTCATTAATTTCCTACGAGAGTCCAATTGGGTGTGTGGAACCATCCAATTTGGTGTTAAACGGCCAATTTACCGATTTACAACTTGCACCAATTTACCGGTTTACAAGGACCAATTTAATTAACTTGCACCGAACTTGACTTGAACCGAAATTGACCCTAACCCGTCAAAACCCGAATTTAACTCGACTTGTTATTAACCTGACCTGAATTCAGCCCGATCTGTGTTGGCCTAACTCGACCCGAATTTAACCCAACCTGTTACAAACCCGACCCGAAATCAACCCGACTTGTTATTGACCTAACTCAAATCCAACCCGAATTGTTATTGACTTGACCCGAATTTTACCAGACCTATTACTTTCCCGACCCAAAAAATCAACCCGATCTGTTACTAACCCGACTCGAAATGAACACGACTTGTTATTGATCCGTCGTAAATTCAACTCAAACCGTTCCTGACCCGATTTCAAATCATTTAAATGCAATTTAGACCACCTTTATTATAGTTGATCAAAGCGTTTTTTCTAGGGAGACCAAGTCGGTCCAGGCCAGCAAAAGAAAGGAGCATCATTCTCAAATTTAAGAGTTAAATATAGTATATATTTGTTGTATGGTCAAAGGAGATAATTATCTTCCTAAATTATAGACTATAGTTCCCTAGTATATATATATATATTTTGAATAGTTGTTCCTAGTATATTGTCATATATATATTATAGTCAAAGGAAATAATTAGCTTGATAAAAATGATAATTATCTATTTATACTTAGTTGAACCCGAATATGACCTGACTTAGAAATAACGACCCAACCTGATTGTAACCTGCAAATTATTGACTTGAGCATAACCTGACTTGAATTCGAGAATGACCCAACCTGATTATAATTCGCATATTATTGACTTGAACCAAACCCAACTTGAACCCGAGAATGACCCGACTTGAAAATGATCCAACCTGATTATAATCCACAAATTATTGACTTGAACCGAATCTGACTCAAACCCAAGAATGACCCGACCTGATTCTAACCCGCAAATTATTGATTTGAACCGAACGCGAGAATTATCTTAGCCCGTATTAACCAGTGAAAACCCGAATTAAACCCGACCTATTGTTCACCCGACCTGAATGTAACCCAACCCAAGCCCGATAAGAATTATGACCCGACTCAAGCATGACCCAACCAAAACCCGACCCACATAGGTTATGGTATTAACCCGAATTAACCCGACCAGAGTTGACCCGATCCACTCTTATCCAACCCAAACCCGACCCGTTTACCCGAATTCACAGCTCGGTACGTGGAACTGTGGAAGTACTACTTGGTCAAACTGTTCATTTGTCTCCATGTTATGTCCAGATGAGTGCTTATCATTCATGATTCATCCATTGGGTTCTGTAGTTAATGGGCTTGCATATGTATGCGCTTACTTCAAGTCCAATGGACTACTGTCCATTTAGGATTAATGGGCACATTTATGGTTTAATTTTCGGTATAAGGCCCAAAAAAAAAGTTAATTGATCTTCATGTAATCCCAATAGTAAATTAGTAATGTCATGTATGATGAGTCTCATTTGTTTCTCATTCTAAAAGACTTGATAAATACAGTAACTATTTGGAAAACATTACTCATGTAGCCACGACCTTAAGCTCCAAGCCTTGAACGAGCATTCTCAAACTTTCAAGATTTTCAAATTATTTGAAGAAGTGAAATATGTTAAAAAATGCCTTCAATTTGTATGCATGTATTATTGTATTAACATGTGTTGGGGACTTACTTTTTAATCTAATTGTAACATATCTAAAATAACTTATTTCTATTCAAGCTAGAAAATAATGTCCTCAAATAAAGGCATTAGCTTTATCAATTGTTTGGTAATTTATGTACTTTAAAGGGTGATTCCGTGATTGTATTATTTGTATAAACTAGCTGAATTATATGTATTATTTCTATTCATATGTTTTATTGAATTTGTCACCAAATTTAGCTTCTCTTATAATCTTTCTATATGCAGTATATTCCTTGATTTCTTCAAACCTCCTTGTATCAATATTAGTATATACACAAAGAAGTAGTGAAATAAATTTTGTAGATATATATAATCATTTACTTGTTTTTTTAAAAAATGATACAGAGTACAAACTATGAGTAATATAATAGGGTGACAGAGTATGAACTGATCAAGATTGCAGCAACACCAAAAAATTGTAAGTACTGTATTTTTTTTTAAAGTTGAAATCTGTAAGCTTAACAGTTAAGATTTGGAAGATCAAAACTTGAAGTACACTAATTTCAAAGCCTTAATTTAAGCGCACACACGTTTACAAGCACACAAAATCTTGCAAAATGCAATGAAAAGGCACAAATTCTAACTTCTAGGCAGTTTCCAGCTCAATTTACCTTGATAAACATTATTCTTATAGAGTACTACAGTATAGTATTATACTACGGAACTAGAGTAATAGTAAAATATAAAACATATTCCTGAGCCTTAACCATCCGCTTAGGCTTTTGGTTGTGATGGTTTACTAACATGGTCATATACCACTATATATATCGTGGTATAAATTCATATATAATGCACAAAATCGATAAATATGTATGCATCATCATTTAATACTAGTTCCACAAAACAAACACAAGGACTACCATACCCTGCAGCACCGATGAACAATATTGCTGCAGGGCAGCCATATTCGTCGCATTACAATGGTTCTTCTGTTGTCGGCCATGGGACGGGTCCATGGTCTACCGGACTATGTCACTGCTGTGATGACCCTGCCAACTGCTTGGTTACAGCCTTTTGTCCTTGCATCACCTTTGGCCAAATCGCCGAGCTTGTTAATCAGGGTGACCCTAGTAAGTAGTACACTAATACTGCTTAATTGATTAGCCTTTTTTCATTCATTCTTCACGTTTTGATCTTTCATGGATTATATTGGTGAATGCAGGTTGTGCAGGAAGTGGAGCAATATACGCGTTGCTAATGGGATTCTCGGGTTTAGCATGCTTATATTCATGCTTCTATCGGTCAAGGTTAAGAGGGCAATATGGGTTGGAGGAGTCACCTTCTGCTGATTGTTTGGTCCATTTCTGCTGTGAGCCTTGTGCCCTTTGCCAAGAGTATCGCGAACTCAAGAACCGTGGTTTTGACATGGGCATAGGTAACAAATTTATTCATTAGTAATTTTAATGAGGCTTCGGATTTTATTATCTATATTATAACAATTCTAATTGAATATATATATAATGACTGTTATATTATTGCAACTTATGAAGGTTGGGAGGCTAACATGGAGAGGAAAAGGGCAACAGTGGTTACAGTAGCTCCTGCTGTGGGCATTATGATGCGCTAATCGATTAGCAGCCAGATGTTATGCAGTTAGTTAAGATTTTGGCTGAATTATCCTGTGAAAATAGCCTTGTTCAACTTATTCCGATCCCTAATATTAGTATATGTATCACTTTTTATTTCGTTGTATGTAATTCACCATCAAATTAAGTTCATATGCTAGATGAATAGCATTTTATATTTATTCAAAGTATGTGCATAATCATCTAGAATAAATTCAATGAAACAAAATACATATCTACTCGTGTTTAAGTATATTTAAAAATTACTACGCATAAAGTATTCACGGAAGGATGGAGGAGTGATGACTCCTTTTTTTGTACGCGTATCATTCTGAAGTAAACCAATCAATATTAATTAGAATTGAATCTCAGCTCAATAGGTACACTTCGAAATTAAGAAAATAAAATACAAAGACTAGACACAAGTACATAACCATTGAAATTTGTTAACTTATTATCATATAGTAGTACGTAACAAAAAAACTACTACATCAAAAACACTAGTACTAAATTTGATAACTTAAAAGTAAAATACCGGCTTAACTTATTAAAAAAAAAAAAAACTAAGTTACGTTAAAAAAAAACTAAGTAGTAAACTTCAAAGTGGTAGTCATCATGGTGGTAAATTCAGCTAAATTAATCAAGCCATCACCATCATTATCAACCTCCCTAATCATCTTGTTACAAGACTCTAAGCTATACATTTGGCCCATCCTCCTTAACACTTCCATCAATTCCTTAGCACTTATCTTGCCATCACCATCAGAATCGAAAATTCGAAACGCGCTCTCTATATCCTTAGACTTCACCTTATTATTATGCAACTCCATGAACTCTTTGAAGTCGATGAACCCATCTCCATCCTTATCAGCCACTTGGAACGCGTTGGCGGCCTCCACGTCTGAATTGACCGTGACTCCCTTGCCGTTGATGGCCCTTAACATAGCCTTGAATTCCTCCTTAGAGATCTTTCCATCTTTGTTTCTATCATACGTTTCGAAAACTCGTTTCATTTCTTGCATGTTAGCTTGATAGGTTTTGGACTTGTTGACGTTGGATTTTTGTGTAGCAAACTTAGAGTTGCTTATTTGGCTATTTGTTTTTGTGAGAGAGGATTTTCTTGAGAGGTTGATACCATAGCTTTTGAGAAAACTCATTTTTGACATACCTTCTTTTTTTTTCTTGCTTCTGGATAGTACGTGTGTACGTGACTATTAATTCGTGTAACTTGAATATTTTTATGTGATTATGGTTATCCCGAGCCTAGCTCTCGACTATATATATACACAATTCTTGATAGTTACATAACATACGTTGGTATGTATGAGCACATTGGATTTTGGGGCACTATGAGTAATGGGTGACAGCATAAACAAAAAGTTATGCTTATCTTGTAATTCTTTGTAAAAATGGAATTTTAAGGAAATTTCTTGTTCAATTATTTTGCATTCAAATTAGAAAAGCACAGAATCTTAGGTAGCTTCCTATTCAATCAATTTGTATTCAACTAAGTAAAGCTAAGGAAGAGAATATAAGCACTAAGTAGGTCAAAATTTTAAAAGCTATCCGTAAGAATACTTTCTTAAATAAGTGGTTAGACGACAATAATAAATATCTACTAGTTGAGATTGATAGATTAATTGATATTTAGCAAAATGATGACTTTAAACTCTAATAACGTAAGCATTACATAATTCATATATAACTTTCAGTTACCTGCATTCATCTTTGACGAAACCTTCTCCATGCTAGACAATAATACCATATAAATAGTGTTATAAAAAATTTACAATAATCACTACTAAATTAAAATAAAGGCACCAAAGTATCAAACGAGTGAAATATATGTTGTGTTCAACTTATTGATAGACAACAGATGGAGATAGATTTTTATTAGTTGCAATTTGAAATATTTTATATCTCATAAATAATACCTTAAAGTTGCAACTAATAAAAATCGGAGGTAGTAATTGAGAAGTTAGGATGATAAGAATGGACATGCAACTTAGGTTGGAGTCTTGGAGATCGAATATAGTAGTAGTACGGAATAATATGGAAAGTTTACGCAGAATGTGAGGTGTGTAACTTTTCTGTGGGTTATCAAATTGCTGCCACTAAAACTATCTACTCCGTAGAATCTAAAAAGGCAAAGGCAAAGGCAAAGCGCGTAAGTACTAGATGCTCGAGAATGTTGAACAAAACCAGTACACATTATATTTAGCTTAATTAGAATATTTAAAGCAAAAAGATATAACTTGTCCAAATAAATCAAGAACTAATTGAGTATATTTTAATGTAAATAAAGTAACATATTATTATTATTGATTGAGTGATTGAGTTTGTCTAATCAGGAATGTGTAAAGTACTCAACTAGCTCAAAATTATTTCACACTTCGATCAACTAGCTTAAAATTTGGAAAGATTATTGGAAAATAACTAGTCACCCCTAAAGCTGTCAATTTGGATAAACGGGTCGGGTAATAGTAGGTCGGGTTAACTCGAGTCGGGTCAATTAAGATTAATTCCATAACCTATGCGGGTCAGGTTTGGGTTGGGTCATGCTTGAGTCGGGTCACGTCAAGTCATACTTCTTATCGGGTTTGGGTTGAGTTTAGGTCAGGTTAATAACATGTCGGGTTACATTCGGGTTGGGTGAACAATAGGTCAAGTTTAATTCGCGTTATCACGGGTTAGGGTAATTTTTGGGTTCAGTTCAAGTTAATAATTTGTGGGTTAGAATTAGGTCGGATCATTCTCAGGTTTGAATTGGGTTCGGTTCAAGTCAATAATTTGCGGATTATAATCAGGTCGGGTCATTCTCGGGTTCAAGTCGGGTTTGGTTCAAGTCAATAATTTGCGGGTTATAATCAGGTTGGGTCATTTTAAAGTCGGGTCATTCTCATATTCAAGTCGGGTTATGTTCAAGTCAATAATTTGCTGGTTACAATAAGGTCGGTCATTTCCAAGTAAGGTCATATTCGGGTTCAACTAATTATAAATAGATAATTATCATTTTTATCAAGCTAATTATTTCCTTTGACTATAATATATATGGAAATATACTAGGGAACTATAGTCTATAATTTAGGAAAATAATTATCTCCTTTGACCATACAACAAATATATACTATATTTAACTCTTAAATTTGAGGATGATGATCCTTTCTTTTCTGGCCTGGACTGACTTGGTCTCCCTAGACAAAATGCTTTGATCAACAATAATAAGGTGGTCTAAATTGCATTTAAGGTGATTTGAAATCGGGTCAGGAACAATTTGGATTGAATTTAGGTCAGGTCAATAACAAGTCGTGTTAATTTCGAGTCGGGTTAGTAACAGATCGGGTTGAATTTTTTAGTCGGGTAAGTAATAGGTTTGGTAAAATTTGGTTCGGTTCAATAACAAGTCGGGTTGAATTTAGGTCAAGTCAACAACAAGCCGGGTTAATTTCGGGATGGGTTTGTAACAGATTGGGTTAGGAATGGGTCGGGTTGAATTCGGGTCAAGTTAGTAACAAGTCGGATAAATTTAGGGTTTTGACGGGTTAAAACGGGTTTGAGTCAATTTCGGTTCAATTCGGGCTCGGTGCAAGTTAATTAAATTGTCGTTGTAAACTAGTAAATCAGTGCAGTTGTAAACCGGTAGATTGGTCGTTTAAAGGCAAATTGAATGGTTGCACCCACCCAATTGAACTCTCGGAGGGTATTAGGGACCATGATAAACATTTTGGTAAATTTTATTCCGGGCGAAAAAATTAAAGTCAAAAAATTAAAAAATTGAAGACTAATATCCACCTTTTTGTGAAATTTTAGAGTCTTCGCAGCCCGGTGTCTAAAAGTCTTGAAATTCTAGGGACTACATCTCGGGGTCATATAATGTCATTTGGAATCCTATGTAATCATTATTTGTTGTCATAAATGTTTGTGGTAGCCTTGAGTTAATGAAAACGGTGCAAGTTGTAAACCGGTAAATTGGTCATTTAAAGGCAAATTGGATGGTTCCACCCAGCCAATGGGAATCCTAGACAGTATTAGGCATCACGGAAAACATTTCGGCAATTTTTATTTCTGGGCGAAAAAAAGTCAAAAATTTCAAAATTAAAATCTAATAACCACGCTTTTTTATAAAAAAAAATAAAAATAAAATGGATTCAGGGCCTGGTCTTGAAAAGTCTTGAAATTCTAGGGGATACATCTCAGGGTCATATAATGCCATTTGGAACAATAAATGATCATTATATGTTGTCATAAATGTTCGTGGTAGATTTTAGTTAATGAAATCAGTGCAAGTGGTAAACCGGTAAATTGGTTGTTTAAAGGCAAATTTGATAGTTCCACCCACCCAATTGGACCCCCGGAGGATATTAGGGGCCATGGTAAAAATTTCGGCAATTTTTATGGGCGATAAAAAGTCGAAAAATTCCAAAATTAAAGACTTATCCACGCTTTTTGAGAAATTTTGGAGGCTTCGGGGTCTGGTGTCGAAAAGGCTTGAGATTTTAGGGGATACATCTCAGGGTCATATTATGTCGTTTGGAACCATATAAGATCATTATATGCTGTCATAAATGTTCGTGGTAGGCTTGAATGAATGAAATCGGTGCAAGTTGTAAATCTGTAAAGTGGATGTTTAAAGGCAAATTGGATGGTTCCACCCACCCAATGGGAGTCCCGGAGGGTATTAGGGACCATGGTAAACATTTCGGCAATTTTTATTCTTGGGCGAGAAAAAGACAAAAAATCAAAAATTAAAGGCTAATATCCACGCTTTTTGAAAAAAAATTAGGCTTCGGGGCCCGGTGTCAAAAAGGCTTGAAATTTTAGGGGATACATCTCGGGGTCATATAACGTCGTTTGGAACCATATATGATCATTATATGTTGTCATAAATAAAAGGTGTGAACAAGCATTTCCTAGTATCATGTCTAGGGTAATTTTAATATCAACTATGGTTGTTATGATGCCTTTCACGTTCTTCCTAATATTTATTCATGTTAATATCATGTTAGGGTTAAAGATTTGATTTTTATTGCTTAGTGACATGCTAGGGTTTTGTTATTAATCTTGTTAGTATCATGCCTAGGATCTTGCTATTATTATTATGCTTTAACGTTGATATGATTATTTTAATTATGATTTATGATTATGATTTTATGATTATAATATTTATTATAATTGTTATTGTGATGATTATTATTTTAATTATTATTTATGATTATAATTTATGATCATGATTATTTTTGTTATGATTATAATTATTAGATTATTTATTATGGTGCTTGATATTTTATTGTTATTGCTTGTTCACACCTTTTATGCATGTTTAAAGGGAATTTGTATATGTAATCACGCTTATATAAGATAATTAATAATTTTGTTAGGGTTAATTTGATTATAATTCAAGTGATCGCCAATAATAGTTTGTTTGTGCATTAAAATTCAACCAACATAGATAAACAGGTTTAGGATTAATCCTATTGATTGCATGTTAGTCAGAAAGCGCGCATGAATACGATCAGAATAAAGTAGAGGCCTATTATTAGGGAAGGTTCAATCTCTTTTAGGTTGGATTTGTACCTTCATCCCCGAACCCTTATTTGGTTCAAGACCTTATGGAGTTGACGATCTCTTGGATCGTTAAGGGGTGTAACCTTCACCCTGTGAACGGTTTACAAGTTCCTAAAACTTGTTGGCGACTCTTTTGCTCTATCTCCTTCCCTTTTGGACGCCACCGTACTTTAGTGTATGATCACAGTGGGGTTCAAGCTAGGGGGTTAACGATTGAAATTATTCCCTACAGATTCCCAGAGGTTATTAGGGACTATAGTAAACATTTCGGCTATATTTATTTTCGGGCGAAAAAAATTCAAAAATTAAAGGCTATTATCCACGTTTTTTGAGAAATTTTGAAGTCTTAAGCGCCCGGTGTCTAAAAGTCTTGAAATACTAGGGAATACATCTTGGGGTAATATAATGTTATTTGAAACAATATATGATCATTGTTTGTTGTCATAAATGTTCGTGGTAGGATTGAGTTAATGAAATCAGTGCAAGTTGTAAACCGGTAAATTGGTCGTTTAAAGGCAAATTGGATGGTTCCACCCACTCAATTAGAATCCTGGGGGGTATTAGGAACCATGGTAAAAATTTCGGTGATATTTATTTCCTTGCGAAAAAAAAGTATAAAAATTCCAAAATTGAAGGCTTATATCCATGCTTTTTGAGAAATTTCGAAAGTTTCAGGGCCAGATGTCGAAAAGAAATGAGATTTTAGGGG